TGGGGTCTGTTGCTGAGATAATTTGATATCAAAGTCAATTCTTGGGCCCCTATGGGCTCTATCTTGGAGCGCCTGGCTCTCATTCATACAGAGTCAGGTAAATAAAGGATGGCCCAAACAGCGGTTAATGTAGACCCATGAGTAATAAAGCCCCTCCTTTTAAGGGCCTGAATATTAGAATCCCTATTATAATCTCTATTAAGGGCAGGGGGTTTATTAATCAGAGTCTGGGTTATCTTGCATTGAGATGTCAGTTATGGATACTCAATAGCCCCTAAACCGTAAACCAAGAATATACCCCAAATAGCCAAGTCCAAAGGAAGGGATCCTGATCATGGTACGTTTGCCAAAGGGTAATGAGGTCCAGGCACCCCCTCGCCAAGCACGGAAAAAGTTAGCCTCTGAAGGCTGAAAATCCAAAAAACTTGAGAGCATCTCTACATGTACCGTTACCTCCAAGCACTCGATCTTGAAGATGGACATCAAGCACAAGGCCTTTAGATTTCAGGTGCAAGAGTCCTTCCTACGTGCTCCTGGCAAAGCAAGCATTTCAGGCGGAGATCACGGCACGCAACAATGGAAGCTACTAAAATGGGTTCTATAGGGGCTATATAGGGGTAATATAGGGGTAATATAGGGGTTATATAGGGATAATGGAAAAGAAAATGGAAACTACTATTATATACTTTTTGTGTAGGATCATCGCAAGGGCAAGTTCATCGATTTGAGGCCAAAGTGATTGCGGAGCTCCGCTCCGAACGGCGACTTGCCTTCTGATATATGGGGATTTCCCAAAATTAGCGGGTACCTTTTTGGGGATCCCCATAGTAAGGATTATAATATTTTGGGGTCTACATTGGGGTTCCCTAGTTTAGGGAAACTATCATATATTCTGATGCTTGCTGATTGCGGAAGTCCCTGCCCGCCACAGCTTCTAATCCCACTAATCCCACCTCAAAAACTAGCACAGTTCCTGCGCAAGCTCCTGGCTGCTGTCTTCTGAGAAGGCAGCCATCACATAGGGGCCTGATGCACTTCGTATGCTGCTGCCCCCGGTGGGAGGAAATCCAGCCAAAAAAAACTGATCAAAGGCCCAGGGCATTGCGGAAATCACTGCCTGTAGCGCTCACACGCTGAAGACTTCCCCTTTCCATTCCATGTTCTCCTGGACACATGCTTGGTGATTGCAACGCACTTAGATGTTGGCTACCGGGTCTGTGAAACATTGATTTCATGGGGATCCCATATGACCCTATGAAAAGTAGCTACTCTCCTGGTCTGGCTCTTCTTCTGGATGGTGGGGTCGACTTGGGGACAGTAAGCGCCAAACGCTTTTCTCTGAACCTGACACGGTGAAGACGTCCGATGACTCCATGTTCTCCTGGGCACGCGCTTGGTGATTGCACCGCACTTAGATGACTTCCTCCTTCCAACATAAACACCCTCTCAGAACATGTTGGCTACCTGCTCTAGAATCTCTTCTGGCCCTACTAAGAATAGCTACCGTCCTTGTCTGGCTCTTCTTCCGGATGGTGGGGTCGACTTGAGGGCAGTGAGTGCCAAACGATTCTCTCTGAACCTGATGGCATTGGAGGATGGTGTGGGGTCCACAGGGGTAAGTCTTTCAAGCAGGCTTAAGGGAGAGGAGATGCTCTAGGGCAATCCTCGCCGGGATTCCCTCATGGCGGCGTAGGTTTTAGGGCCTTGAGATTAGGGCAGGACCTAAAGCTCCTGGATCTTCAGGGATAAGAAGCAGCAGGTACAGTGGATATTCTGATTGACAGATGTTTTTATGAGAGCGCAAAATTAAATGCCTTGGTCTATCTGCTTATAGGAAAAGGGAGCGCGTTAAGCAATGAAGTGAAGACAAAAGTACGAATCTCAGGTACAACTGGCACGGAACGATGAGCCTCTGCTTTGAGATCAACCTCAATAAGATATGGGTGTAATTACAGTGTAATTCAACAGACGAAGATCCATGTACCAAAAAAGACAAAGTTGACCCATTCCCATGTAGAGTCAGGAGACACATGGGTGAGAAAAGCACAAATGCCACAGCTGACCATACCAAGAACATGGCCACCGGAAGCAAATCGTCATCCGCCGTCAACCAATGGACAATCAGCACGGGAGCCCAAACCGCACAAACGAACCAAAAAACAATGAAGTTCAGCACCACTGCCGTCATGAAGCGGTTCCGTCGCAAATGTATGCCAACCTTCCACAGCGGCAAGCACACCCTTAAAGCTAGCATGCAAGCCAAGGGCACAATTCCCCAGTCTGCAACGTTGCGCAAGCTCCAGGTAAGCAGGGCATAGCCGGAGAGGCGGGAACGAGCCATGACAATCCAGAGTGCAATGTGGTCCGCGAGGTAGGGGAAGGAGCTTACGGCGATCTGGAGCTGTTTTGCAAGGTAGTTAGGCAGAGGCTTCTTGCATGCAGCGATTACTAAGCACATTAGAAAACCTTGGCCATTCAGCCCCAGCTTCAAGGTAGAACGCGTAGTTCCATGGCAACGTCACGCCGCTCACCAGCGGCGCCAGGCTCTTGAACAGATCTTCACGAACCAGTCGGCTAAACCTCTTCAGCTAGCCCCATTCTGCAGAAAGTACATGATCCCTAGAAACAATCAAGTCTTACTGCAAAGACCCAGACAAGAACCCCAGATCGACACCTTTCCAGATAGTCGTCGCCCTCCTCGCCAGCATACCTGGGCAAGTGAAGGGACCCCGTTGAGCACATAGCATAACTATTCTTTTTCCCAAGAGCGCCAGAATTTCGCAGAGTACCTTAAACAAGATATCAAATATGCAAACTTCGATGCACCAATGATCCAGGTACCACTGCCTCAGCGTGTTGTACACCAGCTTCCTATCGCACGGGAGACGTTCTCCGGTTTGAGGGTGGCGATGACGGTTGGAACAGCAGAAGCACTGTGCGTCCTTCAAACAAGCAGGACTAATCACCAGTCCTAAAAGTAAGCGTTGCAACATCCATGAACCATGTCGACGACGACGATAAACAGCCATGGCAACATTCACAATCATAGCGAAGCGTAGATGCAAATGTACAGTATACACGTTGCTCTTCTCCGAAAATCAAGGTAACCTATCCAGCCGAAAGCAATTCAACGCGCGCACTCGAGAAATGAGTTTCTCGCTCGCCGCTCTGTTGCTTCCGAAGGTGCTTGCCAGGTTCTGCCCCCATCCAAAAAGGGATGCGCCTGGTACTGCTGCGCTTCTGCTGCTATTACCAAGAGGTCACAAGCACAGAGCCAACTATGCACGGTCTGCACCGGCATAATTGCCGCATGTAGTGCCGCATCGAAAGAGATCAGTAGATCTCAGCGCAACCCTTGTGACAAAACGGTGTTGCCTGCATTCTACGGCCGTCCCTCATGCAGGCATATGTAGACCTCCCAAATGCAACAACCCCCCCAAACCTATTCCCTTGTGTACTGACACGTGACACAACAAAACGCAACGACTTCTGCAGTTGAGAGCAGCGAGCGCGCTACCTTGTTTATGTGTACGTTGCCACCCTTCTGTGACAAATTGCCACATGAGGATTTCCCAAGATTAGGGGTACCCTTCTTGGCGGTACCTACAAGAAGGCTTAGAGCACTCTGAGGTCCATGTTGGGCTCCCCCTATGTGTGAAAAATTCCCGCATCCTGGACCCGGAAGTGGGCCAGCTGCTGGGGGATCTCCTGGAGGTCAGCCATGATGCCCATGCCTTGAGCATTGCTATCGTAATATAGGGGTTATATAGGGATTATAGTGAGATAATGGAAAAGAAAATGGAAATTACTATTTGGGGTTTAGGGTTTTGGGTAACAAAACTCTCTTATGATGTGAGGATTTCATGGCACGGGAGGCTTTCGCTCAAAGCTTTTTACGGCATGCAATCGCTCGGTGCGGCAGATTCTTAGTTCCTTGAACCTCCTCTTCAACTCCCATGATCCTGATGCGAGTGCCTCTGTAAACAAACTAAGTTGGCTCCGTGAATTTTAGTTGATGTCAAGTCTTGCTAGCCCTGACCATATATACATGTATATTATGTGTGATTCTGCAGACTAAGAATCAGCCCAAACCAGACCAAGCTTGGTTTTGCGACTCAACTCCCTTCACTCAAGATAAAAAGAAGATTCGGTATCAAGATGCCAATCATGGCGTACGCAATATCAACAATGGCGCCTGCCACCATCTTCCGTACGACCATGATATCACCCCCCTTCTTGCGCATAATGGAAGTCTTTACAGCCTGGACCTTCGTGCATGTTCCCACGAGTATTGTCATGACTGGCGTGATTCGAAAGACCCCAGACCTTGGCCATACACTCCCAAACCATCGCAACACACGCCCAAGCGGCCCAAATAGTAAATCAACGGAGTCAGCAGGGCCGTTACCAGCAAAAGCATCCTTGTTTCTCATCGCATACTGGAGGGTCTTGTTTTTGGCGGTTCGCAAGAATTTTATTATGAATATCCATGCGCTTGTTCTTATCTTCGGGTCTTCTGCAAAAAGTGAATGGTTTTGGCACGTACCTAGACAATCCTTGGAACTCAATACAGTCGCCAGAGGAAAACAACACATGTGACCTAAAAAGGCCAAGCATCAGCCCAGTTAGGGTCAAGGAAGCGGCAGGCATGTCTTCAGGATCTGCATCTCCAGACTTATAGGCTCTGAAGAGTCCTGTTGCTGGGCATCTGACTGTTGCCAGGAATTTTGCTAGAGCCATCGGGATTGACGTCCAAAGAGCCTCTTGCGTAAGGATACAGCACCACCAGGATTCAAATGCCTGGTGGGTTTCTTGCATAATGTTGGGCCTAAGGCGCTGGGTCTGTTCGTGTTGTTGCCATCCTGATTCCATGCGGGGTTCAACTACGTTCCTGTGAGCAGCTGCTCAGTTCAGCCAGCTCAAAGATCAAAACTTTAGGGCATGGAGGCCCAATGGAGGCTGTCCTTTGAACGCGTTCCAGCCGAAGGTCAATACAAACCAACATCCAGCGGATAGAAGAAGAATCGGCGTGGTCTTGAGGGGCATGAATTGGATACGCTTCCGCCCATCTGGATCTTTCATGAAGGTGGCTACTTCAAATACGCACCATAAGCGCAAAAAGTACCTTCAGCGTGCATGTATGTCCATGTGCGTGCGTTATTATTGTAACTCCTCCTATTTTTCTTCTGGTTCGCAGTGTTTGTTTGATCCTGTTTCTTGTAAGTGCTGCTGTTGCTCTTCTTTTGCTGCCACCGTCACTGCTGCAGCTGCTGCTCCACCTCTTGTCGTTGGTCAGGGACCAAACATTGTCAGTGCTGGAAAGTGCTCACTCACTGAATACACGATGCGCCACAAAAATCAAAAGAATGACAATAGCTGTCAAGACACCGCGGGGTCAAAAGCACCGTGAGTTGGCGGGAGCTGAGCAAAAAGGCGGCAATGCCCTTAATGCCCTTTTGCTTCAACCTTGGTGGATTTTATAGCCATCACAGAAATGTTCACGTCACAAAGCGTAACGTACATTAACTGAAATTACACTGCACTGCATTCCGCTCCTTTGCACTCCATTGAATTAAATTACATTGCACTACATCGCTTTACATTGCATTACGCTTCATTCCATTGCATTACATTACACTACATTGCACTACATTGCATTACATTGCATTACATTGCATTACATTGCATTACATTGCATTACATTGCATTACATTGCATTACATTGCATTACATTGCACTGCACTGCACTACATTGCACTACATTGCATTACATTGCACTACATTGCGTTACATTGCATTCAAGTTGATGGCATCATCATCTTGCTCCACCGGGATATCCCCAACTCCATTTTCTTCTTCACCTCGGGCTTGGTCTACATCTCCACCTTGATCAGCGCGCAAAGCATGATCTTTCGATGCGCATCTCGGACCTCGCCTTCCTCAACTTCAAGCTGGAGTTCCGTTTGGGCTCTTCGTTCCAGTTCCAGACGACGAGCTTCGGCACGTAATTTATGCTTGTGCCTTGCCACTGCGCCTCGACACTTTCCTCGAACCTCTATCCAGAAAGCTTCCGCCCACTTTCCTGCATCTTCATCCCTTTGCATAGGGATTACCCCCACTCTTTCAGCGAAGGCATTCAGTACTTTTGTAGAGTTTAAGGTTTAGGCTTTGGGTTTGGGGTTTGGCTTTTGTGTGGGTGTGCCTGTGTATGATTTGCTTATTCTGCTTGCATGTTTGAATTTGGTCTGTCGTGTATCTTTACATTTGTTCGCTCCTTGTGTTCTGATGTGTTGGCTATTTTGGTCTTCTGTTCCTTCAGATGGTCTAGCTCGAGAAGAGCCTCCAAGAATTTTGGAAATCCGACATCGCAAAAATGTCTGAGCACACTGCATTGCAGTGTTTCCAGGAGGTACTAGCATGAGGCGGTGAGCGCGTGTGCAATGAAGAGCTAAATGCATTCTGGAATTCAATCATTCAACTAGTTCAGGTACGTGCGTAGATGACATTGCATACAATGCCAGAAATTTGCACACATGCCCCGCATCCTCATGTGTTTGTTGTTGGGGCATAAAGAAGATATGAGTACAATACCTTCTGAGAATTGGCAAGCAAGCAAGCAAGCAAGCAAGCAGGCAAGATGCGGATACACAAACATGCATGCGGAAGCAACAACATGCAGATATGATATGCATCCTATGACCACCCCATCCACTGAGCACCAGCACGAAAAGTTGGCCTCTGGTGTATGGACGCGCCAGCCCTAAGGGCTGCAGGCATGCCACGAATCACACCCCGTTCGGCGAGGGCGGTGCGCAGCCGTGATTCGCGCGGCCTCCCCAAATCCCACAGAGGTGCAGGCAGCAAACCCAACCCGCACCGCCGGGGCCGGAGAGAACCCAGCAGCCGCAGACAAGAGAAACGAACGAAGCGAGCGAGATGCCAGGACCTAGTAGGCCCCTGGACACAGGGCCCCCAGCACGAGTTGTACCGGTGCAGGACTGTGAGCTAAGCAAATGAAGGCATGGTCTCACTGCAACAGCTGGCAAAGCTGCTGTGAACTGACACAGGACTATCCCAGGTCAACGGTCAAAAAAAACAGTGGTTGTAACCGGTAAGACTGATACCGCGCGGTAGCTTAGCAAGGCAACCCCAGGAGAGAACCTAACCGTGCACTAAATGAAGCAAAACAACAATGCACCCCGGAAGCCTTTTCCTACGGGCGGCTACTCTGTAGGCTGTACCGAAGAGGTCAGCGCTGGACGGTCTCCTTTTGGGGCCCGCTCAGATTATGGGATATCTATCGCTTTGGGCTATGCTGCACACTTCTTGGATCTGTGAAGGCTGCGACGCGTCCATTCTCCGCCAAGCAGCTCTTCATCATGCTGTGCCACGCACCTTTGCTGGTAGAACCCTGCTGAGGCTTCAGGGTCAAGCGCCTCGTGGTTTTGTATGTGCTCTCGTGAAACTCGCAGCTAGAAAACTCAACATTCATCCGAGCTGCTTCTATGAGAAGTAAAGCTCAAGCGGACAGCAAGAAGATGCGCCCGTGGCTGAATTACGAAGGATCATGTTAAGTCTTGCATCCTGCACCGCAAGCCCCGGTACCTGGCCTCCCAAAGGCATGCAATACTTGGAGGTGGACCAAAGTAATGCGGGGTTCAAGTAAATCTGCTGTCTTTTGATGTCCTCGTGATAGAAGCTGTTTCCACC